CTCAAAAACATGTTTCAATAAATAACCATCCGTACTAGTTGACCTTGCTTACGTGATCATCTCGACGAGCATTTCTCCACCGGACGGCACCGTACTTGGCCAAGGAAGAGCTCCGATTCTACGAGGAAGGGAACACGGTCTTCCACGACCGTTGCCGCTCTCCCTCATAGAATCAAAGCTCCTCCTTGACGTCCATTACCGCTCGGCAGAGAACATGCTCGCCGAGATGAACACGGTCCGCAAGTTCAACTAGTACGGATTTTATATAATTTTCTAAGTATTTTCTAAGTTTTTTATTTCATGGAAAATTTAATTCTAAGATCACGTAAGATTTTGATGAACTAATTTAACTTTTGTTTATCCAAACATATATGCAAATCATCATATGATTTTGAGCTAAAAATGACATAAAATCATAATAAAGTCCAACATATAAAGTTACACATGCATCTACATCGCAAAATGAGATAAGCTACTGATAAAACATAAGAGGATTAAGTTTGTTACCTCCAAAATCGAAGAGCAACACCAATGGAGGGGGAGAGAGCAAGAACAACAGCAAGCTGAAGAATAGAGGTAGTGAGTTTGAATGGAATGGCTCGAGCTCGGGGAGAAAGAAATGAGCTGATTTATAGGCCGGGATAATTAATCCCGGTTAGGGGGCCAAACCGGGACTAAAGATTAATCTTTATTCCCGGGATATCACCCAAACCGGGACTAAAGATCCCTGCCCCGCGGACAACCGTTGGGCTGGAACCTTTAGTCCCGGGGGCAAAAAATACCGAGGCTAATGCCAAATTAGGACATCGTTCTAAAGTCTGTTCTCTAGTAGTATTAGCACAAAATTTTAAATAAGACGAGTTGTCAAGCTTGGGATCAAAAAGTCAAACGAACTATAATTTGGAACGGATTTAGTAGTTTCTACTAGGAAGCCAAAACCACAAAAACGTGACTTTCCCTAGCTCATCTGTGGCCTCCATGCCCTTAAACACACACAAAAAGTAGTCATCAAGTTCGAGTGAAGTACAACGAAGATGTCACTGACCACTTGTATACAAACAAGTCAAATAAGCAAGGGCATTTTGCACATTTGATGCCTTCCACCTATTCCTCAAAAATAGAAGAAATTGGTTTTTCAATTTTTTTCCAAAATAGTTTCAGATTCACCAGGACAAAACTGCTTTTATAAAAAAAATTAGAACCAAAGCCATTTTTAGATAAACTAAAACCCTACCAAAAGAGATTCTTAGTGACAGTGCCAAAGAGGCATGTGGCCGTGACTTCATCTCAGATTCCGTTTAGTGCCCACATGCATTCTACCAGGGGGATTATTGAATGAATGAGCTAGAATCCATGTATTCGAGGAAAAAAATTTGAATGCTCTAGTGTAGCACTCGGTTTTAAGAACAAAACCAGATACGCACCATATGTGAGCCTAGAAAGTCAAATCTCACATATAGCTACAAATAAAGGTAATATCAATAGACAATGCTTAATATATCACATACTTAGTACAAAGGACATAACCTTATATAGCAAACAGCGGAAAGACAACTCCGATCTCCGGGTGAAGACTCCGATTCCACAGGGACAACTGACTGGTTGATCATAAGCCTATTTCCTCAAAACTCTAGCAATCTGGTACCCATTCGGGATTTTTATCAAGTAGTAAAAATAAAGCAAGCGTAAGTATATGTCGTACTCAACAAATATAACATGGGGTTCATGAGGCTCAAAAGACTGACACTGGTTTACTGCGATTAGCTTTTAGTGAGTCACGATTTTAAGCAATTGAGTAGCAACAAGTTTATCACAGCCCATGTAAACACATGATCAGGTAAACATGAAGAATGAATAGCATAAACAATTAACCATTAATGAACATCTTTATCATCAGTATCATCAGTGTTCATCATCTATTCTGTAAGGGTCAAGTCCCCTCGTGACCGTGAGCATGACTGATATACCAGTTTTACACTCTGCAAAGGTTGTACACTTTCACTATGAGTCGTGATTTACCCTTTCGCCCGAGATAGCTAATCTCTTGACCCACTTCCAAGGAAGGTCCATAGGGTTCACTATGAATCCTTTCAAAGGTTCGTCTAACAAGTTAGTGCCGCTAGGTTTCCCCATCAATAAGCATGAACTCCCCTCCAAGGAGTGACTGACAAAAGACCAAGAAACCAAAATGCACTCAACCTGGCAAGCAAAGGTCATACCTGTCGGAGCCGCTCTTGCGCCATAAAGGTAACCACTAACAAGCTAGAAAAAGTTCTCATACTTGACTAAAGCCAGAGCCATAACCCTCACAGTTGTACTGTAAGTCCTGGATGTTCACTTACAGATATTCCTTAAGGATAGGAATCTAGAGCACCATAAAAATAGCCCAATGCTCTAGCCCCCTTGTTACATGTTGCTAAAAAGCATCTTTTAGTGTTTATTGCAGAATCCATTAGTCAAGTTACAAAATCATTGTCTTTAATTAAGCACTAGCATCATACTACCCAATGCATAAACCCAAGGTATCAAAGGTACAAGTTCAAGTGCTAGGAAATCCTTACAGGAAACAAGGTAGACACATGCAGTATGAATTAAATGATTAAAGGAGTATAGGACAACAAGGATGATCCCATATTATACTTACCTTTAACTCAGATCATTCTTCTAATCCAAATCTTCAAAGATCTGCTTCTTGATTCACCATGTATAGCTCACCGATTGGACACGACCATAAAGCACCACACAAGCATCCATGCAATCATACACGAAGCAAACAATAGATCTAAATTAGAACAGTACACCAACATATAGAATAGCAAGTAAAAAGGTTTTAAAGATGTCCTACACGCTGCTATGAACACACAGATGCGAAAAGCACGCTAATCGAAGCTAAAACGGAAAAAATATGAATTAAACAAGATTTTCTTTAATTAAAATATTAGATTAAATCTAACATCGAATTTCAAAAGTTAAAATTATATTTAATAGTAAGATAAACAAGTAGACTTCGTAATTATGAATCTAACGCAACTTGAACGAATCAAATCGGAGTTAAAACGAAGAACTTATGGCCTAAAGAAAATAGTGGCAAAACTGTAAATAGATAAAAACGTATTTTGGATCTAACCGGAGAAACTACGTTTTTAGAAGAAGAAAGCGTATTTTGAGTCTAACAGAGGGAACTTACGCTTTCCAGAAAGAGAAAACGTATTTTGAGAATAACCGAAGGAAAATACGTTTTCAAAAACAGAAAACGTATTCTGGGGAATACGTCAAGGACCGCGGGTTTGAACTTAGAATCTTGGGAGGGCTCTTTTACAAAATTGGTGGGCGAACCGGTACGGTGCGATCACGGCAGTTGGATATAACTTGGATGGCACAGATTAGATCGGGAGAGAACGGCTGCCGGCGGCGACGCAGACAGCGGCGGCGCCATGGCCGGAACGAGCGAGCTCGCCGGTGTAGTGGGATCTAGGCCTACGGGTCACAACAGCACAAGGCGAGGGCACCAAGAGAGAGAGGAAGGCAACGCGAACTCACCAAGGTAGTTTTTGCTGACGATGGAGGCATGGAAGCGATGCGCAGCTCGGCGAACACGGCGGCTATGGCGGTGCTAGGGCTCACGGCTTGGCACGCTGCGATTCGGCGATTTGGCGAGGCGGCTGCGGCTCCGAGGCTCGAGATGGAAGTGGCATAATGCGGGCGCCCGGTATTTATGGCCGGGAGCAGCTTGGGGCGCAAGACAAGGACGAGGCGTGGCCGACGTGGAGTCGGGCGGCATGGCGGAGTCCGGTGCGGTGCCGAGTCGGAGGAAGGAGATGGTGCCTGACAGCGCGGACCCGCCTGTTAGTAAGACATGCAGGGAGAGGGGAAGAGCAGAGTGGCGCGGCGTTGGGCTGGCTGGACCGAAACGAGGAAGCGAGCCGGCGGTGAAGGAGGGAGCAGGCCGCGGGGAGCGAGGCGGGGCAGGCCACTGTTGGGCTGCGGCACTTGACCGAAGAGAAAGGAAGCAGGAGCAGGCCTGCGCGGCTTGGGCCGTGGGGTGACAAGGAAACAGGCCGGCTGCAGAAGTGGGTGCGGGATTGGCCCGAATGCCAGGGAGTGGAGCTGGGCTGGTGCGGGAAGACGGGCCTAGCAGCTGCTAAGCCGTGGTAAAAGGAACACAGGCCGAGCTAGGCCAAAGGAGGAGGAAGAATCCTTTTTTTCCTTTTATTTCAAAACTATTTCAAAAATATTTTAAATAAATTTGAATTTGGATCAAATCACTCATTATAAAAATACAAATACACCATAATGCACAACCATGTTTCTAAACCTTAGGATGAATTTTTAATTTAATGAAAAATATTATTTTTCCTATATTTCGTGGCACAAAATGTAATAATTAAACCTTTTTAACCCTATTTCAAAAGAGCAATTTTTAGGGTGTTACACCGGGTCCATCATATATTAAGTACGGAGGTAATCTGGCTTTATCTCACATCAAAAGCAGTAAGATGTGTCATTTGATTTTTGCAGTTTCATGTCTCCTGTTGCCAGGACATCCTTCGCCGTATTGTTAAACGTCATTGGTAAACCAGTGTGCAACTACAGCAGAAGTCAGCTATTGGGCCAATATAATACAAGACAAAATCCACAATATGGTGCATGCTTATACATGCCCTGTTGCCCCCTGTATATTTCGTGAATGGAGTAAGATTGTGAATCCAATTTCCTACAGAAATCATAAAACCTGCATTCACATCTATCACTCTATCAGATCTCATATCGACAACATAAATAATCAAACAATTCCATGATCCACAGCACCGTCTAAAGACATGTATGAAGGGGTGCCGGCCACTCAGAATGTGACCCCAAGTAAGTCGCTCTTCGCACCATTGTCAAACCATTGTCTGAACAAACTGAAATATTCCCAGCACTTAGATGAAAGCAGATGCTTTTAAGGGATCTTGGGCATATAATCTGTCACTAAACTTTTGTTTCCTCAATCGGTACCTCTATCTTCCCTGTACTGTTTGTTGAAGTGTTGGCCATGCGACCTCCTCATCATTGCTGTATCCATTGATAAGAAAATCAGTGCAGTTCCTCTGGCAACCTCGACTGTAAGGATTTCTGAAACGCCCATCAGGCCCTCGAAGATATGTGTAGCGAGATCGATTCGCTACCTCATTAGTTGTCATGTTCCGTGCTATCTGCAATGAATGGGTGAAGCATACACGTTATGAAAATGCACCCATTGAAGCGAATATGCCGTGCGGGTATGTGGCCGAACTTCCATTTTGCTACTTCTAGCAAACTGAGTTCAATGAAATTGTGCTGTTCGGTTTCACAATGATAGAAACATACTCTCTAAACAGCCTAGCTACAAATCTTATGAGGCACAAAATAGAAACTGTATGCTCTTTTGCTATTCCCAATGTCCAAAGTAGCACAGAGCATGAGACGACAATTTGATCATACAGCATAGAGACAAATAGAATGCTGCTCTGATAACCCCGGAGTGTTTGCTCCAAAAAATGCAAATACTAACAAACAGGCGAAAATTTACCTGTACTGCTTGTGCTCCAGTCAGAATAAGAGCTCCAGTTAACAAAAAGACATCCAGAAACATGAACAATACAGCACCAGGATGCTTTGTTACCATGAAATGCATCCACGATTCTGAAGATGAGAGTATAACGGGCTCTGTCCAAAGTCCTGAGGCATTAAATGTCCTTGACTTATTAGTACATCTTGAAGCAAAGAAAAAGTACTGTTTAAAGACGTCCTTACTGTGGAATCCAACAGCAGCACCCAGGAAGGATGTAGCTATCCCCATCCAAAGAAACACGAAAAAGTCCCACTTATTTCGCTGCAATAAAAAATTTATATTTAGTAAGGCAACATATCAGGTGCAAACCAACCAACCTGTGCAAACTTGGAAACTACCAATCAGGACCACTAGATGCTGATCCAATGGATGGTGTAAGGGGGCTTAAGCGAAAAAAAAAGACCGGCGGGTGGGGGGCTTAAGCGCAAAAAAATCCCCCCTCTCACCCCATCCATTGAATCAACATCTAGTGGTCCTGATTGGTAGTTTCCAAGTTTGCATAGGTTGGTTGGTTTGCACCTGATACGTTGCCATTTAGTAATTCCCTCTGTCCCAGTTTATAAAGCGCACACGTAATAAACAAAACATTGAAGTTTTATTCTTTCAGTACAAAATTGATACCGTTAATTTTGAACGACATACTTTCCTATGATCTTAATCATATAGTCATAAACAACGCAATATGGAAAATCTGTCAAAGTCTCAAAGAGCTGCATGCAGAATACAATTGAATACGAACATGTATGTATGGCATCACGATGAGGTTCAAGTTGACAGTCTGAATACTTATTACAGTCAGATTTCATAATGAAAAAAATCCAAGTGCACACATTATTACGTGAATACTAAGCATCAAGCAACTGTGTATTCCCATTAGCGATCCAAAGAACAAAATTAGTATCCAATATTAGTGCCTAGCCATAACATGTTTCCTAAAACAATTGGAACAGCAGAACAGGCAGTTAAAGTCACAACAATAGAAAATTCGAGATGTGCAAATTAATGTTTATACCTTTCCAACACAGTTTGATATCCATGGGCAGTGATGGTCAAACTGCTCAACACAATGCTTACAAGTTGGACAATGTTTGGAGCGCATAGGTCGAATTATCTGGTAAGTAAGGTTACCCATTCAGTAAAAATAAACATAGTTGGGGTTTATAGCCAAAACAAGAGCAGGTAACAAGACAAGCACACATACATATGGTTTCATCTTTTGCTTCCGACACAAAGTGCCATCTCCACAAGAGATATACTAAAATAATACGAAAGACGAGGGGGAGGGGGGATCACAGAAGTAAGAATAGTAATGAAGAGTTTTTGTCCCTAGTACCTTGCAAGTAGGGCATAGCTGAGACCAATTGCCTATCCAAGTAGAGGAGTTGGTAAGATCAATTTCCATAAGTGGCTCCTGTAAATAAAGCGCTAATTGTCATATTTACCTACTGACAAAAAAAAAAACTGTGCAAACAACTTTTTATGGTTTGGCAGACCAAATGATGTTTAGTCAGTCTTCAAAATGTTGACTACAGAACTTCAGTTGGTCGCAATGCCAAAAGATAGGTGAAAATAGGCCCATAAACTCCTAGCTTCCATGTACTGTAGTATGATAATATGGTATCAACTACAAACTGAAGGAACATGTTTTATCTGTTCCTTGAAATGACACATAGCAAGATTCTATAAATATTGATCCAAGGCAGTTCCTTCAAGCACATTTGTAGAAACATTGTCTTTGAATAACAGTGGTAGAACATTTTTTTTACCTTCGGATCAGATCGCTTGGAATTTGCCTTGATGTAGCCAGGATTTTTTCTGTCAAGTGTCAACAGCAAAAGAACACAAACGTTAAGCATGGAACAGGGACAATATGAGAACAAAATAATCTGCTGATCTTATAAAAGTATATGTTCATATGTTGAGATTAAAACTTTAAAATGGAGATTTCCACACTAGCAAGAATGCATCAAATGCATGATCGAATCTCTTCCCATGAGTCTCATACTCTCATCACAAATTCATTTTACCCAACAGTCAGTCATCTTTTTAATGGCTACATACATCAAGGTATTATTATAGCTACTTAATGTACAAAGACTTAAAAAAACATAGCTAATCAGGAAATAGCCAAAGGTGCACATAAATGGTACAACCAGACGATAAACAAATATGAAACATAAGCTACCTGCTAACTCTGTAGAACATTACTTGAGATGCAAAGAAAAGTGATACAGCAGCCCAGGACCAAAGACCAGCAGTAGCAGTGATCCTAGAAAAATTAGGTGCTGCAGAGATTTTATAATCAGGCCTGATGAAAAACAAAGATCCCTAATTCTGATATAAACAACAAAAACTCTGAAGCAATGCTCACCAAATACAATCGAGTTTAGGAAAAGGATGAGGCAGACGACAAGATAAGCAAACAAGAAAGGGGCGTATCCAATTTTCCTCGATTTCCCAGGGAAGAACTTGTCTTCAAAGCTTACTTTTGTAGCATTAGACTACAAGCAGAGAAATTATTTTGTTAGTGGAGTTGAAAAGGTCAGTACCTAAAACACACACCAAATGAATATTTGGAGAACAAACTTCAAAACAGGGGAGGAAAGAAAATGGATAGAACAGAGGAAAGCATACATCATTGAATACATGCCATTGCAATCATTTACAACAGCACGAACCTAGATATACTGGTGTATGAGCAGATTGAATGGTGGCATGCAGCATAATTTCTCAGGAGGAGAAAGAGGTTAATTATTAATAGGAAAATAGAATGCCAGCGGAAACGTACAAGGATATTGGAAAGATGCCGATGACCTTTTTCTGCTGCAAGTTGCACAGGAGTTAAGCCACCACTATCCTTAAGTGTGAGTTCTTCCTTCGTACCAGTATGTACAAGAACTGTGCAAACCTCCAAATTCCCTCTTATAGCAGCCCAGTGTAAAGCGGTACAACCTGCACGGCATCACAAAAAGAGCTTAAATACTATATACCCACCTAGATGCCTAAGAGAAATAAAATAACAGGGCCACATTCGCAGTCATCCATAATTTTAAGGGAAATTAATTATTCATCCTAATTTTTTCCATAGGGTTGGGAGCATACTACAGACAATTGAAAAAGTAGATGTTTTTAAAAATATTCTGACAAGCACTGAACCTTGCCAAATATGCCATTGTTTTTGTTCATAGAATAAGAAAAATTGTGGGAAAGAAGAAACATATGAAGTAGCCAAAAGATGTAATTAAATACCACAGAAAAGAGGCAGGTACCATTTTTGTCTTGCCTTACTTGATTAGCATCCATAAATAGCAGTAATCTGATTGTATCTGCATTTCCTTTGTAGGCAGCCCTGTGATGTTATAGAATATATAAGGTTACATTACGCCAAACATGGAAATGTAGATAAAAGTATCCAATGAATGGAAGTCTTGACAGAGAAGTCAGGTAGACAGTAAATTAACTGACTCTTCAGGACTGTGGTTACAGTCCTTCAATCGTACAACTGAGTGCACAGCACCATATCATATACATGCACAGCAGTGCAAAGACAATTTCTGAATGAATCATTTACCGTGATTGAGACACAATTTGAACAGAATATACAAAACCATATTAAACTGTATACTGCATTTTTTAGGTGACATTGATACCTAAACAAGGGAAAGCATGCATTCTGAAAGTAGAGTATTGTCAATAATCATGTACCAGTGCAGCGCGCTCCTCCCATCATTGTCCAAAGCATCAAAATCTGCACCGTACTTTGAGATAATGTGATGCAAGAATGATGTTTGGCCATACTGAGATGCAACATGGACTGCCTGACATAATAATCAAAGCAGGGAACAGTCAGACAGAAGATTCCGCTTGAACCATATAAATGACTTAGCTGTGATCAGGAACTGAACATATAATCTTTTTCATCAGCATCAGCAATAAAGGAAAGATGAAAGGCTGCTCCAAAGATAAGCTATCCAGCCTAAAAGCAAATTTCCAAATGGTGTGCTGTAAATATGTAAGATATATTTATTATTTTGCTATTCAGTCCATTGTCTTGCCTATCAGCAAACAGCAGAATTAATCTGCAATTGCACCTGTTGCAAATGATTTATTCTAAACAAAATGGCACTAGCACAATGGCTGCTACTCCCTCTGTACCAAATTGCAAGTCGTTTTGGTTTTTCTAGATACATAGCTTTTGTTATGCACTTAGATATTGTCTAGATACATAGTAAAATCTATGTATCCAAAAAAGCCAAAACGACATACAATTGGAATGCGGGGAGTACTTCACTGAGATAATGCTTAGTTTGGAAGTTGGACCAATAGAGTAAGTTCTGTATTTGGAAGTTAAGACTAACAGAGTAAGTTCTGTATTCTTCTACTAGATAGATTTCCTATTGTCATCAATGCTGAAAGCCTGAAACACACTAACCATACAGCTGACTTGGCAAACCAGATGAGAATTGAGGCAGACCCTACATTTTTTTACTGATTCAAACAAACTTCGTAAACCTCTAAAACCACCCCCGCAGACTATCCCAGAAGGCAGTTGGTTTCATGGTACCCTCACCAATCAGGTACTAAACCAATCACAAACATAGGGGCAACAAAATATATAAATTCGAATTGTACATCCAGAAAGACGGGTGCCACATTACCCGGTAGCCATTGACGTCAGCGGCCTCGACCCTGGCGCCGTGCTCCATCAGCACGTCTGCCACGGAAGTGGACCCACGCACCGCCGCCCAGTGCAGCGCCGTCTGCCTCGCGTGGTCCGTCGCATTCACGTCGCCCCCGTGCTGCAGCAAACCGAACAATCCCATCATCAGCGAAGCTATAAGGTGAGGTGAGCACGAGTCGCAGGAATGGATAAGCGCAGATTCGAAGCCGGCGAGGAAGCAGGATAGGGGTAAGGACGGAGGGGAAGCCGAGTCCGAGCCCGACCTCGATGATGTAGAGCGCGACGTGGGGGTAGTTGTTGAGCGCGGCCCACTGGAGCGCGTGGTAGCCGTTGCCGTCGGGCTCCCTGAGCGCGGCGGCGGCGGCTCCCCCATGCTCGACGAAGCCGCGGAGCCGCTCCAGGTCCCCGTACGCCGCCGCCGAGTACGCGTCCACCACGGGGTCCGCCGGCGGCTCCCCCGCACCTTCCTGCCGCCGCCGCTCCTCGTCCTCGTCCCGCCTGCCGCCTTCGGACACCACCTCGATCTCCGCCATGGATGGGCCCTGGCGGAGGAAGGTGGGGAGCGGGGGGGCGCTAGGGTTGGAGGCTTGGAGCCGCGGTTCCTTCGAGGCGGCGCGGGTGGGAGAGGGGAGAGGGAGGAGGTGGTGGTGGTCAACGGGGCTGACGACGAGGGGAGGAGGGTGATTTGGGAACAACGACCGCCGACAGAGGGACGGACAGCCCCCGCGGACAGGAGTGGGTCGGGACGGAGCGGGCGGAGGTGGGTGATGGTCGGAGTCAGAGGAGTGACGCGGTGGCACGTGAGAAGTGGGTGGGAGAGCCGTCGGACGGCTTGGGTGCCCAGGTTCAGGTGGAACGGAACGGAACGGAGGGGCTCCGTGGGTCATGGCTTGCGTGGACAATGTTTTGGCTTCTCGGAGTTTGCAATGCATCAGACCATGAGACCCTCCGTCAAATTTGACATTTTTTTAACAAGTCAAACCTTTTTTTAAAAATTGATAAAATATGTTAAAGTACTATTTATGCTATGTAATAAGTATAATTAGACTATTAATAAAATATAGTTTTTCATAAAAATATATCTTGATATATAAATATTGAGATTATTTTCTATAAATCTTGTTATAAACTTAAAAAAATCAAGTCCTGAAAAAACAAGATATGTATTCTTTTAGGATTGAGAAAGTCTGATTCTAACTTAAAAAATGATGAGGAGTTTGCTCATTCCAAATTTGAACCAGCAGAAGGTAATCTCTATATCCCCGTAGATGCAATGTATATCTAGGTGCATATAAAAAAGCTATGCGCCTAAAAAGTTAGAACGACTTCGAATTTGAAATGGAGGTAGTACAAATTATGGAGCATAATGTGATTATCGTATCAAGATTTTCCCAGTAGATCGAGTCTTTAGGGTTACCATTTCTCCATGCCAAGTTTTTTGGTTTTGGGGATTTATTTCCTCCTCCTTCGCTCCGACGACGACGAGAGGGGAGGGTGGAATTGTTTTTCCTATGGCGGTTCGTTCAAGATGAGGGCGACAACTATGGTGTCAGCAAAGTCACCGGTTTGACAACATGGAGACTTTTATTTTCGAAGGGCGACATCAAGGCAGAGATGGTGTCGCCGCCGTGGAATAATTTTCTTCGGTCTCTTCTCCGTTTTATTGTGGTTAGATCTGACTATGATAAAGAGCAAGGGAGAACAAGTTCAGTCAGTCTTCCTCATTCTTTGGTGACAGAAAAAAGAAGAAAGAAGACACCAGAAAGAAAAAGTTCCTCAATTCAGCCTACATGAATGTTGGTCGTCGTTCGTTGGGCACTATTCTCAGGCCTTTTGCCGTAAAGCGCTGTACAGGTTTGATTTTGAGATCTAGAGCTATTCACAGTGTGGATACAATTTAGATGAAAATCGGTTTCTAGAAAATTTGTGTAATCCAGAGTGCTTTGTAACGTGTTGAAGTACCCAGCTATTATCTAATATAATTTTTTTTCGTTGAAAAAAAATTTATGCATGGATTTTAAATGAAGAATTTGGACACGTGTAAAAAAGATATTATATTTTATAAAAAAATCGTTTGATCTGATTTATGTTGTTATTATACTCCATCAAGTATATTCCACTTGTCCCTTAGCATTGGATTGTTATGGACGTGTTTGTTTGCCTAGCCTAGATGAGTCATTGAGCCTAAAGGGTGCAACATAGGCTGTTTGTTTGCCTGGGCCAGCCTACAAGCCCGGCCTAGCACGCCCCTCAAAGCACCCCTGGGCCTGACCCTCAAGGAACGATTTTTTTTCGTTTCTCTGGAGCTCGGCTCGTCTGGGCGCAAGGCTGCTCGCGTTGGTAATTTCTCGTCACCGCCCTTCTCTTCACCATCCGTAGTGGCGCAACGCCCTACCCCGTGCGTCGGCCCACCTCCCCTCTGGAGCGTGCGGCGAGCTTCTCCTGTGAAAGGTCCAAGTATGGCTAGAGGGAGGTGAATAGCCTATTTAAAAATCTACAAACCAACTAGAGCAATTTGATTAGTATAACAAATAACGAAAAGTAAACTTACTCTAGCTCTACAAGGGTTGCAAGCCACCTATCCAATAATTCTAGTTACTATGATCACTAGACACATAATTTACTAAGTCACTACTCACTAAGAGCTCTCACACTTGCTACACTAAAGGGATCCACTAGATAAACTTAAGCTACAAAGCAAGCTCTCAATTCTAGCTACACTAAAGAGCTTGCTACAACTAGTTTGTAGGAATGTAAATGAGTAAGTAAGGTGATTATACCGCAGTGTAGAGGAGTGAACCAATCACAAGATGAATACTAATTTAATCACCGGAAGAACACGAACGGGCAAGAGACAACCAATGTTTTTCTCTGAGGTTCACGTGCTTGCCGACACGCTAGTCCCCGTTGTGTCGACCAACACTTGGTGGTTCGGCGGCTAAAAGGTGTTGCACGAACCTCGTCCACACAATTGGACACCGCAAGAACCTACCCACAAGTGAGGTAACTCAATGACACAAACAATCCACTAGAGTTACCTTTCGGCGCTCTATCGGGGAAGGTACAAGACCCCTCACAATCATCGCGATCGGAGCCGGAGACAATCACCAACCTCCGCTCGACGATCCTTACTGCTCCAAGCCGTCTAGGTGGCAGCAACCACCAAGAGTAACAAGTGAATCCCACAGTGAAACACAAACACCAAGTGCCTCTAGATGCAATCACTCAAGCAATGCACTTGGATTCTCTCACAATCTCATAAAGATGATGAATTAATGATGGAGATGGGTGGGAGGGCTTTGGCTAAGCTCACAAGGTTGCCATGTTAATGCAAATAGCCAAGAGTTTTTGCTAGAGCCAGCCACATGCCCTTAAATAGAGCCCCTAATGAAATAGAGCCATTAGGCTATCACTGCAGCCCAACTCGAGGCGACTGGACGCGCCGATCAAGTTGACCGGACGTTGGACCCCTGCGTCCAATCGCCTGATGATCGCCACGTGTCATCAACTTCAAATGTTGAGCGTCCAATCTTAACTGCTAATCTGCTTCATGCCACATGTTAAGTTGTGACCGAACACGCTGCTCAAAGTGACCGGACGCTCCATCACTAGAGTCCGGTCATTTTAGTAAGGTTCTAGAGACGGTTTTTTGCGACCGGACGCATCCGGTGGATCATGACCGGACCCAGGCCAGCGTCCAGTCAACTTAGCCTCTCTCTATTGCATGTGTCAGCGTACGTCACTAGGTGACCAGACGTACCCCCTGAGCGTCCAGTCCCTCTTTCTCTTCAGCATCTGGTCAAGGGACCGAGGGCGGCCTTCACTGTGCGCTACTGACCGGACGCGGGGTCAGAGTCTAGTCACTGCCCATGGCAGAGTCCAGTCAATACGAAACTTCTCTTTTTAACCCCAAACTTCACCACCCTTGATCAAATGTGCCAACCACCAAGTGTATCACCTTGTGTACGTGTGTTAGCATATTTTCACAAACATTTTCAAGGGTGTTGGCTTTCCACTAGATCCTAAATATATATGCAATGAGTTAGAGCATCTAGTGGCACTTTGATAACCAGATTTCGATACAAGTATCACCCCTCTTAATAGTATGGCTATCGATCCTAAATGTGATAACACTCGTGTCGGGGACCTGATACCGGGGTACCCCAGAAGGTGAAACCAATAACCACCGAACGTTAAAAACTTCTGGACGCATAAGAGCGTTGCTTCACCCCTCACGGGAATGACAGGAGCTTGGTTCCACCTCGCCCGACGCCTTTGGGGTGGGCTCGGTCTCGCCCGAGGGCCTAGGGCTAGTCTCCGTCTCGTCCGACGCCTTTAGGGCGGGCTTGGTCTCGCCCGAGAGCTGAGGAATAGACTGCGCCTCGCCCGACCCCGGAGGAGCGGGCTCGGTCTCGCCCGAGGGCTGAGGGATAGACTCCACCTCGCCCGACCCCGGAGGAGCAGGGTCGGTCTCGCCTAGGAGATAGGGATTGGTCTTCGCTTCGCCCGATGGCAAGGAACAAGCCTCACTCTGCTCCATATCTAAAGATTGGATTCATCTTACCGGACCACTTCTCCATGTTCCTTCAAGATGATAGAGACAGGGCAAGACATGACGTTCAGGTCAACCATGCCTCCAAGAGCCATACCCTGCACCCTGGCAGGAAAAGTACTGCCAGGGGATGACGGGACGGGCGCTTTAGGCCCTTCCAGGCACCGCAGAGCCCGAAAGGTGTCACAGGTGCGAGCTCTCCACCCTGTAGAGTTGTAGGCGCCGCCTTTAGCTCTGGGACACGGAACCCGACGAAGATATACGACAACCACTACGCTCCATAAAAGGATTTGCTATCTCCACGAACGACGGATATTCCGTCACCACGCAGTGGACCCAAGGGAGCGGCGCCCGCTTCCCGACCCCTTAGGTCCACCAAGACAGAAGACCTTGGCCACGGCGCTACTCCAGGCCCTGACCCCGCGTCCCTCCGACGAAGACTCATAGGAACTAGAAGGCGTGCGAAGCAAGGTTGGGGGAGGCTCAAAAGTCAAAACCACTATATTGCGACTCATACCCTGCGCAGGGTAGCATTCTGTAACCAACCTGACATTCTATAGGGACATCGATAGTATTGTAGGCGCTTATCTTCCTTTGCACTCATCATAATGAAGAACCAGGCCGGGTAGATGTGAACCATAAGACTAAGTAGAGTACGCATCCTAAAGCCCTCACCCTTGTAAAGCCAGCCCCTTCATCTATAAAAGGGGATGCGCTTCCTCCATAAAGGGGGAGAAAAAAGGAGAGATCGAACGAGATGACTCTCAGATACGCACAGTCAAGTTGGTGTCGAACCTCTTGACATCCCTTCAACCCTTCCATTAGAGACTTGGGACCAGTCCCTCTCTCGATCGTTTGTACCCCTTACTGCAAACCGTTCATGGTGCTAATAACACGAGCAGCAACAAACTGGATGTAGGGACTTTCGGCCCGAACCAGTATAAATCTTGTGTCCTTTAGCGCACCATCCGAGCCTAACGC